ATGTATGATTGAAGAGTCGACCTTTTTAGATATACTTTGCAACTTAATAAAAATAATAATCGCTAAATTTTCTTATTGACCATTTTTGCTTACGATATTTAAAACCTATTCTTAAATTTGGAAAAAGATAGAAAGAAACAAAAACAAAGAGAACATTTTACCGTAGTTGAACTTAATATAGTGATGATAATAGAATAAATAATATGTTATCACTACGCTATCTATATCATCGTGAAGCTTTAACATATTAAACATTGACAAACAGGTTAAAATTAATTAATTCTACTCATATTTTATTTACGATATCTTTCATGTTGATTAAAGTTAATGAGTATATAAATATATAATATTGAATAAAGTAATAAAAATTATATTGCTCCACACTTTTAATTTATCCGCTCGGCATATCCACCATAGTATTGTATTCTATTCTCCTATATGTATATATCCCCGTTTTATCTGCCAATGCAATTGATTCATCAAATTTTAACTTTCGTCAAAATTTTGCATTGTTACAATGATATAGCGGAAGGTACACGTTCAATTATACATACATATGTATAGTCAACTTAATTAATTTAGTTTAACGTTTCATGCACGATACACGATGCAAATGAATTCAGAACGTTCAGCTCAAAAAACGCAATGACTATATTTGCGTTTTCATTGCTGCATTATACACAAACCAAGATGAATCGGATGAATACATAGCTTGCATTGCGTCGCTACAGACATATCTTTAAATAGTTGTGAATGCATCTAAGTACTTCTGGGTTCAAAATTTAATTAGTAGTAGTTATGTAATTACTTTACTAACTAATCGCTATGTAAATAATGAAAATAAATAAATGGATGAATTTTAAGTATGGAATCGTGTTCACGGCTTCTTTCTAACTCATCACATTACTCTCAATAGTTTTCTTAAACATGCTTTGCTCCTGCTGCTGTGTTGTTTCCAGTATGGATGGCATCAAGTTATATGTAAGTAGTTGTTTTTCTTTTCCTGTTACACGTTCAAATTCTATTTAGTTATATTCGGAAATACTGCAACCTGGACGTTCTAATATTTATTGGTCGCTTAATTCATAACGTAAATAAAGCAAAATCATATTGTCTGAAAAATTAACCGTATGATTAGATTTTGTTTACATAAACTTTGAAAAATGGCAAGGTAAATGAAGCGAAAAATTTCAGCGAAAAGCGATTGTTTGAAGCGAATATAAGTATTAGAGCGAAAAAAAAATGTTTTGTCCGCATAGTAACAGGTAGAAGTATACTTTAATAAAATTTTTTCTTTTCAATAAAAATATATGTCATTACTTTAAATTTGTATAATGTTCGATTTTTGTTTTATTTTCACAAATACATCTCTGATTTATTTGTCAATGCAAATGCATGGAGAAAGCTTAAAATTTTACCTAATGCTTTCATTTACACAATGCAGCTATATGTTCAATCTATACGTAAACGGGCGATTCGTTCATGATATAAAATGCAAGTGTTCAGTGCGCTAATAGCAACTACACTCACTCATATGCCTTTTAAAACGATGATGAATTATTCCTACTTTTGGAATCGTCTTTCAATTTTGCAGACTTTTTAGGAGACTTCCTAAAAATGGGCAAATCATACGGTCTTGCATGCGTACACACGAATGAAACAAAAAGACAAAAACGCCCAAGAAGAAGTAAAGACAATTTATTTTAAATTTGAGACTAATTGTTTAATTTAAACGTATTATGTACTGATTTAAGTCATATATTTTATTATACGATTTAAAATTTTATTTTATACTGTATACTAGTCAATAAGGAATGAAAAACAAGCAACAAGAGCGGTCTGAATGCAATTTTAAGTACATTTGTCAAATCCTAACATTTAATGTTTTACTGCGTCAGCGAAGTCAAGCTCCTTTTCTTAAAATCATTTCTCCTCAATCTTTATTTCATTCATCAATGAAAAATTTAACTTGCTTTTACATTAATTTTCTTGTCGTTGTTTCTCAACGCGGTTTCTCATTGTGCATACTTTTTGGGACTTTTTTACCTGAAAAACGGAATAACGCATTATTGTGTAAAGCATCTGTTCACTCTTACCCTTTTAAACAAATTTTCTGAATTTTTGGAGAGTGATTTCTTTACTTGACAGAATCAGAGACTATCGCCGGCATTGTCATTGTAAAATTTTGCTTACTCTGAGAGGAGATTTCTTTGTTTACTTGGCATCATTCAAGTCTTGCTGGTAGCGTATAATAAAATTTTGTTTGATCTAATAGAAGGTTTGTTCGATTACTTGGCATCATTCAAGTCTTGTTCGCATTGTTTTGTTTGCTCTAAAATAAGATTTCTTAAATTACTTTACACTATCAGGGTACTGTTGATATGTTATATGTCTGAAAAATAGGGACAGAAATAAAATAGAGAGAGAATAACCACTTTTTAACAATTGTTTACATGAATATAAAACGAACCATTTCTTACATTTTTTCAGTTACTTTTTTCTCTTCGAATATAAGCAAATTTCTTTCACAAAGGTTTTTGCGATATAACATACGCAAAATATATGTATATATAAATTCGAAGATAACTATTAACACACAATAAATAGAATCCATGTGAAATTTTAATATCACTTTGTGTCTCTACGTTTATATACATGAATCTGTAAGCAAATAAAAGACATATGTATGGAATTCTGAATGATAGATATGTTTAAAGTTTGTTGTCAAGCGAATTTGGTGCGAAATAATATAACAAAATACGCAAAAATACGTACGCACCTGTTGGTTACTATCAAAGCAAAAAAAAATGTAATTATACATAGATTCATGCGGTTATCCACCCTATCAACGCTTCGAACAAATCAAAATAAGAAATCATGATTATAATGTTTAAATTCGAATAATAGCCTTTTGTCAAATTTTCTTGAGCCGCTTCTCGCATTTAGCTATTCTCACTTTTAATAAATTTACTTATCTATATCCTTGAGTGTAATAAAGTTTAAGTGAGAGGTTAGACAAAGCAAAATGAAAACAATTAGAAATATTTATTATTTTCATGAAATCACCCCTTTCTCTTATGATTTTATTTACTTTTAAAAGAAAATTTATATATCTGTGAATATTTGAAACTATTATCCAACATAAAGTTTTAATTTAATTAAGTTAAAATTTTCTTAAATCAGTTTGTGTGAACTTTAAGTATAACTATATAAACATTAATCCTACATGAAATAGACAGTAAAATGCAAAAACATTCTGTTGCTAATGCAGTTTGCTGTTTATCTTCCCCCGTTTTTCTCTTATTTGTTCGGAATGATTTCGAAGCAATTTTTAATGCAACTTAATAACCTATGTACGTACATGACAGAATCTATTCATATATATTATACACTTTAGATATATATGTGTATATGTATACACACTGCATTTTTTGATATATTTTTTGTTTTTCATACAATTGGACTTAACTCTTAACTAGAAATTCAATATGATATTTTGTAGGTTTAACAACTGCATATAAATTATTTAACGAAGAACTAGAAACATAAGATAGTTGAAGAAATTTAACTCTTAATCTCATACCTGTTTAAAAAATCTTTAAATCAAAATTAAAAATTTATGTATTCGCTTTAAAACAAATCTGTTAAATATCGCAATTTATTCATTTTTACAAAATGTTTTCTTCTCTCACGTAAATGAAAAGAATAAAATAGCGAATAAATTCTAGGTTTGAGTAACTATGACTCTCTCTCCAAAATGAAAAACATCAACAGTAGGGTAACTCCATCGCAGTAATGACAATAGGAACGTCGTAGATGCACCTATTCTCACTTCCTCGTGGTCCCCGCCAGGTGGTAGTTTTTTTTCGTCATTCACGAAAAAGCCTACACGAGAAATACGGGGCGAATTCCATCGCCAATTCCCACAAAGTCGCGTAAAGAGTCAGCAAAGTTGTAGTTCCATCCCAAAAATAAGGATAACGTACCATTATTTTAGCCCCCATTAATTAATCAAGTGGACCATTTCGTTTTTTTTGTTAAAATCATTTTTTCATTAATCAAAAAGCTTATTTGTTTTCACATTAACTAATTGCAATCTAATAAGTTGATCTCTTCGGAGGCCGGTACGGTAATGCATCTACAATTAGATCTACTTTCGAGACGTAATTTCAACTATGCCGTCGTTTTACGATTTATGTGGGAGTTGATAAATCGTAGAATGTTGACACGATGAAGCTTCTCTTGTATTCCCATGTCCAGGAAAGCATTTGATTTATAAATTTTATAAATGTATTTGTGTTTGTAATACATAAATATGTATATATAATATATGTATACATTTATAAAATTTATCCTCTATTTTAAGAAATATTTATAAATTAAATGTCTCCCCCAAAACTGGGAATATAAACGAAGCTTCATTGAGTCGGCAGCTATATGGCTTTCTATCTCGACAAAGTAAAGAAAAAAAAACCGGCAAGAACTGAGACAATTTATTTTAAATTTAGCAATTATTTATCTAATCTAAGTCTCTTTCGTTCTTAATTAAGTCTTTTTCATATTACATAATCTAAAATTGCTATTTATAACTGGGTTTATTTTGTCAAGGATGAGCAACAAGAAACAAAGGCAATGTATTTGCAATCTAAAGCATATTTTTAAAGCTAAAAATCTTGACCAATTCTTTCGCTTTGATTAACTGTCACAATGAAGCCTACCTCTATGCTTCGTCTTTTATTATTGCGTTACCTCTATAATCAATCAAAAATCGACATTTTGCAGTAAAACAATATGGTAGGATGGCTATCCAATATGTTGTTGTCTTATTGGGTTTTGCGCGTTTTCGGCCTCTCGAATCAAGCTTAAAAACGTTTTTTAGATATAATGGTAACTCTAGTAGTTGTTAAAAACAGAACCTTAAACCTTAAATTCAGATCTCTCTAAAAAACATTTAGTTTTTATATATTTATTGAAATTTTCATAATCAACGATTTTCAAAAATGGCACAATCTGCATCAATGAAACAAATAGGCGCACGCCATATGAATGGTGCTGTACATATAATGGAATGGAGTAATAAAATGGACTTAATTGCTTATGGAACAGAAAAAGGTAGTGAAAATAATGGATAGCAACAGAACTAAAATATTAATTATTTCTGGCTTAGGTGAAGTGACAGTGCAGCGCTTAAATTGGCAGAAAATTGTCATATTTCCTCCACCGGGCGAAGATGTTAAAGTAAGATCATTAAGTTGGCAACATGATGAAACAATAATAGCTGTTGGTAACTGAGTAAAAGTTCCTCAATGCTGGAGTATGTTGTGCTCTAATTATAAATTTATCAAGGTTACAGCAACGGTGAAGTTTCCTTATTGGATGCAGAGCGTGAAGAATCAATTTCTACCTTAAAATACGATGAGGATATTAAAAAAGTATATTTTAGTAAGGCCATTAATATCGCAGACTATCGGACTGTCTATCGAAACAAAGCGGAGGTAAATATTGTTAATGATAACATTAAAAATATTAATGCTTTTTGTTTTCAGTTAGCATTTGATTTCTTTTTGCCGCCTTTGCCTCCTTTAAATAACTTAGGTATTTCTTCAAAGTCTCAAGAACATAAATCATTTGCCAAAGGCTCACCTTGCTTTCTGGTAGTGATTTTAAAAAGCGGAAAAATTTTTTTGCTGTTTTTGGGTGCATTAAAGGCTGGGTCTATAGATATGTCTCAACATGTATCCTACCCTGATGATTTTGAAATTTTTGATGCACGTCTCAGCGGTGATTTCAACGCAATGTATGCTTTAGTTCGAGACGGTGACAAAATCAAAGTACTGCATTTTTGTAATGCTATATTGAAGGAATACATATCACCTATGATGCACTTGGCAATGCATTGTGCCAATATTCTAGAAACAAAAAAGTAAGATTTTTAATATTATATAATATACTGAACCGGTAGTAACAGATCTTGAAATGGTTTATTAATCAATGTGTGATCGCTAAACGTCCGCCTATGTCAAAGATATTGTTCATTTAATGAATACCAGCAATGACTAGCTGAACAGAAGGACATGTGTCTTTGAGATGAAAATCTTTAGGAAGAAATTTCATAAATTGTGCTCAATACAATTACGGCCTTTTTCCACCCGTATCTTACAGTTTTTGTCAAATCGTCAATCGAATTTTCATTACGGAACTATAAACAACTGTAATGGTGTATAAGTGGATTAGCGAACAATGAGCGGTTAAAAGGCGCGATTTTTAAACGGTCGAATATTTCATATCACTTCTATTGAAATTGATTATAAAGAACCATATTTAAAATTAATTGCCATTTGGGAAGTTATAAATAGTTTTTCGCGTTTATAGCTATATAAACAACACTATACAATGCATACTAGAGGCTTGGGAGACGGTGCTTTTAGAAATGGACAATAAACTTACCAACTATGCAAATGAACAACCGGCTACTTCATTGTCCGCAGATTTTCTAGAATTGTTGGTGTTTGGTTATGCTACTCATGATATTGAGGAATTTCTAATGCAGTAAATATAATAGAATATGTGTCCGTAGTCATGCACCTGTAAATGAGTCTTTTGCTTGCCTTATTCTAGAGATTTAACCGAAAAGGGAATCAAAAAGCTGCAAACATCTGTAGATTTAAGCTATTCTACTATACAAAGCCTAGTAACGAAACCTTTACAAAGTGCGGCCATTAATATGTTTTATTTCCTAAATACGATAAAGGGTTTAGCCCGAATGTCCTATTATTTTGAGGTGAGACCATACATTCACAAGCAGACATATGCTTTAATTTTATTAACTGAATTTTGAATAATACAGCCCTTGATTGTACCTGCCACGGCTGAGGAAGCTTTACGCCAGTGTGGAGCATTGCTGATGAAAATATTAGAATTGCAACAAGTAGTAGACCAGTCGGTGAACGATATGAAACTATTTTTCTCTTGGCTCTGTGTGGTAATTGTACGTTTACATCAACAAGATATACCCGAAGATATGCCACAATTAAGTACTCAAGACACGATATATCTCGCAGAATATCTCAATAGTATTGAGGATAGCGTTATAGAGAACGGTAATTATCTGTCTTATCCATAATTCCATAGCGAAATTTCAAACGTAAATATGTGCCAATGGTGCGTATTTGGTGGAAATTGAAATTTGTATCGACTTTTGACAAAATATTGCCTTTCAATCGTTTTAGATTCATATTAATATTTTATTTCGAATGGAACAAGATAAGTAATGTCATAATCGTGTCAAATGTACACCAAAGCTGTTTTACGAAAAAAAAAAAAAAATGAGAGATATTTATCGCTTTGATAAGTACAATAACATTGACCATCCAATTGCTCTTAAATATTTAAAGTCTTAACGTTTGGAAGTTATTATGTCTTCGCTACGGATTTATGCATAGATTTATGATTGGTTAAGTTGTTTTTAGTTATACTAATATTTTCCACAGACGATGGATCGGTAACCAAAAGAAAATTTAATTTGGAAAAGGTCGGACAATATTTAGAGGATAAGCCCTTACAGCAAACCGTAAAGAGTGATGTGCATCATTTATGGCAGAAACTTCTAGAGAAGAACGAGTGTTTATATAATTGTTCACTCTTATATCCACATGAAAAGCAACTTTCACTGATACAGCAAAGAGATAAAATGTTTATTTCTATTGATGCGGTATTTGAAAAGCCCAATTCCAGTATCACTTCAGAATTTCAATTGGATTTCATATGCACATGCTGTTCACTGCCACTCGAGTATAGTAGATCTGTGGATTTTATAAAATTTTCTTTTTTAGCTGGGAATAAAAGGGGAAGCGATCTAATGGCTATCACTACAGACTGGCAGAGTTGCTTGCTAATGGAATTTGATCAAAAATTTTCACAACTGTCATGCGTTATAATTCATCTAAAACCGGGTCCCTTTACAAAAGAGCTCCCTCTACCTTTAAATAATTTACAATTTGTCGATTTGCAATTTTATAATGAGGAAGTGTTGTCGTTATTGCTGCTCCAGGACAATGAAGAAAAACAGCAAAGCTATTTCATGCAATTCTCATTGGAACTGATGCGCGAGAAATTCACTTTACATTTATTGCCTCAAAACTTGAACTTGCAAGAGATATTATTGCCACAAAGTATTTTCGATTTTGTAGATTTTTGCCAGTTTCGAGGAATGGATACCATTTGTACCAGTTTAGCGGTTTCAGGATCAAGAAAGGTATAAAATATCAATTTAAAATATCTATTCATGTTTAATCATTTTCCGTTATTTTTCAAGGTTGCCTCCATATTATCAGACAAAAACAAAAAAATAGTCATGTTTGAAATGGAAATTGAAGATGATGATGACGAGCTTGAAATATCGCAGAATTACTGAGTAGACTTTCACTAAAAAATAAATAATATCGTAAGCATAAAGGATGAAAACTGTGTTTTATTGCCTTCGTTCAGTTGTTCATACAGCTTTTTCATTTAAATGAAGTGAATAAAATGGAAAAAAAAGGGATTGTAAACGAAAAATATGCCGCTTAAGAAAAATAATTAATTCTACACATATTATTAAACGACGATTTCATTAATAAGCACTTGCTTCATCCGACTTTTGGATACTCACTAAGTCTCGCTTTTTTCTGTGGTCCTTGCGTTTGGTACGCTTTTTATCGCCTATTTCATTAATTTCGTCCGCTACTGACTGAGCTTCTTGATAATATTGAATTAGAGAATTTTCATTTGGATGACAAATTGTCGAGTTCTGCCTTCTTTCACAATTCTTAGAATTTTCATCAACACTATCTTCTCCTTCAGATCTTTTTTGCGCTTGAACCAGCTCACACAGATACTTGTAACGTGTTAAGCATTCTTCTTTACTTTTACCAGGCACGTAATCGGCAATACGTTGCCAACGATCTCCCATAACACTCGATTTTGGATATTTAATTATAGCTTCTTCCAAAGCTTTTTGCTGATCTTGTGTCCAATTTGTCTCCGGTATTAATATATTTTTAGTGGCTTTTTCTTTTTTTGATTTATCTCTTTTTCCCTCTTTTTGAGCTCCTTGGAAATTAGCATCGCCAGCACTTTCCGATTGACCAGGAGTACGATAACCATTCTCTTTCATTTTGGCTGCCATAAAGGTAACTTCTTGTACAGTACGATTCATTGCCTCGGCAATGCTGTTCCAACGACTACTGGAGCCGCATGGATATTTTTTTACTAAGCGTATAAGTTCGGCTAGATCTTCATCTGTCCAAAAACCGCCAGTCAAACCAGTCTAAAAGAAAAATTATATTAAACGGAATTTTTAATGAGGAATTTAAGAATTTAAAACCTTTTGCGCGACTGGTCGTATAGCGTCATCTTCGGTTAATTCTCGAATTTGGATTTGAGAATACCCCCTGAGTTCTTCATCAGTTTTTTCAGGGACTTTATGATTCTCTTTGCGTTTACGTAAGTTTTCCTTTTTCTCTTTACGTAGTCGAGCTTGTTCCTCAGCTTCTTTTTCTAATATTTCTAACCGTTTAGCCTCTTCCATCTCTCTGTAAACAAAGACTAATCCAGCTGACCATATGTTTAATGATGCTTTGATTTTTAGCAAAACTTACTGTCTTTGTTTTTCTACGGCTAGTTTTTTAAGCTCCTTAGCTTTGCTAGCTGCTTCTTTCATCATTTTCGGTATATTCCAAATAAACACAGGTATTTGTATGGGTAATGTATTCTGAAAGAAGATAAATATGATGAGTCACAATTTTTTTAAGGTTATGAAGTCTAATGTTTATTAAACCTTCAGCGATGGTGTAGGAATTTCATTTAGTATCATATCTATATCAATGCTTTTATTTTTCTTTTGCAATTTCTTTAATTTAGAGCCAAGTATTTGTTCAGCTGTATATCTCTTTTCGACGTAAGCAGCCCATGCAAATAAGTATTGACCAATTGTTAAAAACACAAACAATATACCGGCGGCTTCATACAAGCCAATTTTACGCATTCTTCGGTAATAGTATAAAGCAGATTTCCAGTTAGGTAGACCATCTTTTAACACTTTATCATATTTCCCTCTTTTACCCGGATCCTTGAGCACCTCGTAAATGGATACTAAATTACGGAATTGTATGTTTGCATCTTCTGACGGATTTTTGTCTGGATGCAATTGAATCGATAAAGATCTAAATGCTCGCTTAATATCATTGCTAGTAGCATTCTAATAGGAAGAAAAGAAGAGTTTAAATTTAAGAATTAAAGCTCTTGGTAAAACTCACTTGTATGATTCCCATAAATTCATAGAAATTTCTATTGATTTCTTCGACTAAATCAAAAATTTCTAATTCCTCTGTATCCCAGGCCTCAGTGCTTAACAATAATGCACAGATAACAAAAATATTCACATAAAATTTCATCCCCTTTTTATTAAATTTTAATTTAGAAAAGAAAAAAATTCACACGTTTCCTTATATAGACGAGAAGAAAAAATATTCAAAAAATGTTGACAACGACGCAAGTATAAAAACAGTTGATTACGTTTGTGCAAGCAGTTGTGATAATCTGCAGCATGTGTTTGTCAAATGAAAATGGTAAAATTATACTTTTCCGTACGACAGTTTAGAACGTTGTGCACTGACGTCCATTAAGTTAACAAACTTTTATTACGCTTTTATCCGGTCAAAAGTATTTTAGCTGCATAACCATATTTGTAAATAAATAAAGATCTAAAGAAAATTAGCATTATATTTTCCTTTTCTTTAATTGGATGAGAAGTTCTATGGATAAAAAACCAGACGCCTGAAACAAACTTACTTCATCTATTAATCAATTACTTTCTGTGTAGTGAAAAGTTCTGCTGAATTGTATTTTCTCAATTAGCCTACAATGGAACAGTCTTGCGGTCTAAGTTTCCTTTTATGTTACGTTTAGTGGAAGAGATTTAGGATTTCCACGAAATGTAGGTGCACACAATTTTGGTAACCTTTCAATATATATGTATATATATATAGTACATATATATAAAACCCACCGCAACTTTTAAATTATGCAACTTGCGTAAGCAAATCTCCTCTGCAAATTTTAATTGTATATAGGACGCCCTGCAACTTTCCACAATTCATTTAACAATATTATTATTAATATGTTGAACGTCGCGCGAGTTTTCAAAAAAATCCGCATCAAGCTACGCGCGCTAATTGCGTTGCAAGAAATTGGAAATTTTTTAATAAAAATTAAAAGCGTCACCCAAATACGTCCGACACGACCTATTCAGAATATTTGTTGTGGCAATCAACGTGTCAACGAAAAGGAATATTAATATTGAGAATAATGTAAGAACAGTGAAATATTTTTCAGCTTAAAAGCCGTTTATGTGGTAAAATTTCCTTCCAAATGATTTTTATGGGATATTTTCGGAAATGTCTTCGTCCTTTTTAAACTAATGAATAATATCTTAACGGGTTAAACGAATTTATTGAACATTATTTAGTTTGCCTGTGGGAAGAAAGTTGTTCATTTATTGCTCATTCAGTTATCCGCTCATAATTCATAAGAATTCATTGTAGTGTAAGTAATAAAGTGTTGATAAAATCGTTGAATTGTCTGTCTGTCAAGCCAAAACTTTATCTGAAAGGACAAAGAAAATCTTAAATTTACTGATCGTTTTTGTCTCGTTAAATTTCAATATTGTTCCATAATCTGCCCACAACTATTAAAATAAGATAAATAAAAATTTGTACATTTGTACAAAAACGGTAATTAAAATATTACCTACCATACGAAATAGGATATTATATGACTCATACGGCATTTTATCAACCATGGAACGTTGTTGCTTTAATTTCAGGATGTTTCAATGAGCATCACGTCACGACACGACACGATTAAGGATGTAAAAACGTAACTTCTAATGGTTAATAATCTTTATCCCTAATGAAAATTTGTATGCGCACTATATTACAATAGCCGACATATCATTGGGTGGTGATGTGTTGCGAATGTTTGTAAAGACATGTCAATCCATGCTTTAGAGCAGTAAGGATTAGCATTTGTTAAAAAATACGCGATGGTGTTTAAGATATTTTTGATGAATGAATGATTTTACAATTCTAACAAATAATCCATGTCAAAGTGCAGGCAGTATTCAGAGCCATTAGAATGGCTTTGGGTTTGCGCAGTTGAGGGGTTGAATGGATGGAAAAATGAGGATATGCGATAATGCCCTTAAGAGAATTTTTAGCATTTCTTGTTGTTCTCTCAATACTATTCCAAAAATGTTTTCGTTACATTATTTAACGGATTTTAAGACACACTGACAGGGCTTTACAGCTTGCTAAGTTGGCGGTTGGCGTTTCGATATTATATCAGCGATGCTTGCCTTGTTTTCGTTATAACAGAGAATCAATTCACATATTGCATACATTTGTTTTGTGCAATAATTTTTTTGTTTTACTATTTGTAGTAAGGGGACCTGGAATACTTGGCTGAAAATGTGACTCTGATATAGTTTTCTTAATCTCTTCGCAGGCACTCTGCACTCTTACCCTTCTCTTTATGGTGTATAATATTTTATAACGCATTTTCGCCATACGCACCTAACCTTTGCCATCGTGACCGCGATTACTGATATTAGTTTAACAATTCGGATTTCAAATACAACATCGAAGAGTATCGGAAAATCCTGATCATCAAATTGCTTAACTGTTTGCCCTTTTTTTTTATGAAAATAAGAAAATAGTGATTAATTTTTGCTCAAAAATTCTGATACGTGAATGTATGTTTTGTTCGTAAAAATAATTTCTTTATAAAGTGAATCATTTCGCAAGAGAAAGAAATTTCTGAATGTTCTTCGGATCGGAAAGGAAATGTAGTTTCAGGGCCCTTGGTTTTACATACGACGTCATTACTTTCTAATGTGAAATGCACCACGGTAATCTTCCGCACGTGCATCGAAAAGCAAACAAAGTCGGACTTCAACAGGTTGTACGATAACAAATGTATACAAAGAATTGCAACAACAAAATGACGACCAACCTCTAATACTTTCAAATTAATATCTGTATGGAATTTAAACTTGTAACTTCTACCGTTTGCTATCAATCAAGAACCGAGATATTGCATTTCTCAAGTAAAGGAATTTATATCCCTAATTAAGGCAATTTTATTGTAACTTATGGCAACACTTAAAGGAAGTTATTTGATATTTGTAGTCATTTTAACTGGGTACAGAGTGTAAGAAGCAAAATATATAGAAAATTGCTATAAAATTGAAAAGAAACGCTTTAAATTAACTAAATGGTTATTATTTGTGAATTAAACAATTATTTTCATAATCATATTAGTATTGTCTTAGCTAAAATGTGAGACGAACTTTAATTGTCGTTAATTAAAAAGAATGTCGTAAACTTTTACTTGTCTCTTGGCTAAGGTGGTGGCCATAGAAAATTTGAAAGTGGTTGGTTATTAAAGATGATGACTCTTCCATCTGTGGTATCCATAAGAGGGTTTATAAATTTTTTTTATTTTTTTCTTTTAATTGTGCAACAGCAAATACTTAGAAGTATTAAAATGAGAAATTCTATAAAAACCAAATAATCATATAGTTTAAGCAAAAAAAAAACAAACATAAAAAAAAAACGGTAACAATCCTATACTAAAAGATATTTCGCTTGTTTACATAAGAATTATAGTCATGCACGTTTTTTAGTTATGAAAAGGAAATAAGTAAAGTGACAAAAGAGAAAAAAAAAACACAACATACTCTTAGGCGTCAATGTAGAATCGCATAAACATGCAGCATAATCATTCACACACATATGCGTGCAAACTAAACCAAAGAAAGAATCGCTCGCATACAATTATAAACAAATATGTTTACATACATATACTTTATCATAGTTGTTAAACACAAACGCAACAGAACGGCAAAAAGGAAAAAGCAATCACAACAATAGACGTTTACATGCATAGAAATTTAGTAAATTGTAGCCTACTAACTAGACATATTAATTAAAATGCAATAAACAAAGGTGAAAATATATCAAAAAAGAATTTGCAAAACGAAGGTGCAAAACTAAACAGAAAACAGTTAGAGAAAAAATTATAAACAAACAGAACAATGGTAATAGCAAGCAGCAAAGTGGAAAGTGCATAAAATTTGTGCATTGTTCAGTTGCCAAGGACAGAAGTTGCTTTTGTCATTACTCTACAATGAATAACAACAACAAAATACAATAAAATCTGTATATATACATTTACTTTTTGGGGTTGGAGGGGTGATTACGCTTATGAGTGTCACTGTCAGTGCAACATTTTTAAATGAAAGGAAAACATATAAACGGAAATCAATGTAAAATAAATCAACAACAGCTGTAAATAAATGCAAATTGGAAAACTTCATTTTCGTAGCCATCACTTGACATCAAAGTCTTTTGTTTTTAAATTAATTTCAATAAATGTGCAAAATATGAAGGCGAACGAGATGGATGACATATGAGTACATGAAAAAATATATTCAAAAAATTAAGCTTTTAAAAATTGTGGGGTCTGTTTTTAGAATTTTTGTTTTTTTATTTTTTTCCGATATTTGTAAACAGTAATTAAACCATTTTCGTAATCGCGAGAATGTCAGCTATAGACGGACTTATATGACGCTTAGTTGTTGCTTAAAGAATTCGAATTTCAGTTGATTCAAGATATTCTATATATATGAATAAGGAGTTTCTTTGTATGTCACATACAGAATGACAAAACAATTGTCCTTCTAATTTCTGGTGGTGGATATATAAATACAATTTTATACAATAAACACGCACATACATAAGCATGCTCACTATCTGAGGAACAACAAAAAAAAAAAAAAAAAAAAAAAAAATACTTAGCAGACAATACAAAGAAATCGACTGCATCAAGTAAGAGTTACATTGTTCCACACAGCGACAATAACAATAACTTTACTGCAATAAAGATGCTCTCGATGCTCATAGTTATAACATTGTGTTATACTGCATATATGTCAAAGTTTGTAAGTATCAAATAAAAAAAGAAAATTTTTAAATTATCATATATAATATAAAGACGATTTTATTTCCTTTGTATACGTAGAAGATCTGCAATCATAAAGTGTAAACCCTTCGCCAGTTACGTAGCGCAAAAAAATGTTGTAGGTGAAACTATATTAAATAAGTCATTCCTTTGAAAACGCGCAGGAATACACAGGAGAAATTATATAATATATAATATATTTAACTTCTGTATATGACCATATATAGTCTCTCTATATATGTATACTATATATACATATATTTATTAGTATATGTATATATAGCAGCACATACAACATGTATGTATATATATATATATATATATATACTTTTGATCTATCTATCTATAATATTATATCGATAAAGCCATATTTTTTATTGATTTGTAATTTGTTTGTATTCTTATGATAACATAGAAGTAAAACAAGTAAGAACGCTATGGTCGAGCAAGGCCAACCATTAAATACCCTACACCACATTGCCTAACACAATTGTTACTTTTATTATAGAACGCAAAAATTATATCTTCTTTATATATAAAGGCATATGTTTTATGTGAGCATTTACAGGGAGACGGCCCCGAAACGCAACCTAATCCTCACATATGGCAAGCTCCAGGAATAGGCGTAGATCGTCCAATTTAGAATGCCGAAATGCTACTACTTAGGCACTTTTGAAAATTACAATTTTATTCTATATAACGACTTTTTAGAATAGGCCGTTATAGGGGGAATGGTCGAAAACATGGACCTATCCGAATCACTTTCAATAGCGTTCGTCCTTGGGGCAAAACACGTTACTGTACCAAATTTTATCAAAACGTCTCAAAGATTAAGATCAGCAGAAATCAGATGAACAGACGGACGCACAATCTTAGATCAATTCAGATAATGATTCTGAATCGCTCGGTATAAAAAAGGTGGGTCCATTTTAAGCGTTTTACATACGATCGCATTAAGCTAATATACATTGAACCACAAGTGGTGTAGGGTATAAAGTGTTTTTTTGGCAAGATGGAAGGAAATGTAGCAGATTAACAACATTTAAGGAGATTGTAGCTTTCATTATTAGAGAAAAAATTCTTTTTTTTAAATATATTAAAAATGGGCAACACCGCAGCCATTCTCTGTAGACATCTTTAGCTCAAGGGGCTTTGCGGCAAGCAGCATAACTGCATCAAATTTGAATTTAAAAAAAAATCTTTTTTATTCTATCGACTTATATCGATTTTTGCTTCATTCTTCGAAACTTATCGAAAAAATGCTTTGTGTTTCACTAGAGAATGTTGGTTTGAAATAACAGTAAGAAATTCGAATGAAAAAGATGAAAATTATTGGAGTTATGCTGCTTGCTAATTTCGAAACGCGTGTTTCGAAATAAACTTTAAAGCCTTTGAAGCTTTGACATGTGTTATAGACATGTTTTTTTACTTTTTTGTATTACTCTGTGATGTCAGGACCATAAAACTGCCCTTCCAAGTTTAAATGTTCCTCCTCGTTCTGATGAAAGGATTTCGATATGACGCCTAAAACGGCAAGAAAATGCACAATTTAATAATGAAATTCATAACCGAGATCGAAAAGTTCAATAAAAATTTTGTAATTTCTTGACACAAGCATTGGAAGAGAGAGAGAGAGAGAGAGAGAGAGAGAGAGAGAGAGAGAGAGAGAGAGAGATCTGTATTAAAGTATTAGAGAGGGTAGAAATGAAGAGGTAAAACATTAGCCGGTAACCGTCAGCCGCTGTTTATGCGGGTAATGCATTTTTTCCATATATCCTAGGAGGTGCAAAGAAAATCCCTCTAAGAAAAAAGAACTTGACAGTGGTCTACCCCGTTAAGCTTAAGACATCTGGCGCCTATTTATCGCAAGTGTTTATTGTCGTACCTTTATGTAAATACCAATAATGCGCATTATGTTTTTTTTTTTTTTGTTCGAGCGTCACTGAAAGGCTGAATGAATCAAACAATTCATACAAATGTTTATCTAAGCATTTGTCATACTGCACGCTGACAACTATTCATAGGCGAACTGTTTGTATTCTTCCATTGTGTTTTGCTTTTCAAATTCTTTTGTAAAAGGAACGTGCTTGAAAATGCTTTTCTCGTCTTTATCCACTTGTATAAAAAGATACATATTTATGTATATATATATATATATATATATATATATATATATATATGTAAGTATTTATATATCCAAGTATAATATTAAATCATGTCCCAGTAAAAGAGAAGAGGGAGGATGGAGGGTTAAAGTGCGATTGTTAAAGAAGCAAAATGAGAGAAAGCCTTAACGTTATAGCATGTTTTTCATTTCATAAAAGGAATGTATTTGTCTTAATTAATTTATCCGCATTAATAACGGGAATAGATAGATACACTTACTTTCTATCTTACTGGCACTCCTTAAATATAAGTGCAACAATTTTAAATCTCTCTTTTAAATGAATAAACTTCGTTGCTTGCTATTAAAGTCAAATTACTGATAGAAATATCTTGACTACTGAAAGATTTTCTGTATGCGATCGCTACTCCGATCTGGACTGTTTCTTTTTATACTGGGGTAAACTTTGAAAGTCAATGAAATCCTCTCACGATTTACATGTACACCGGCTGTGGTATAAGGTCGGATGAGGCAACTTATTTCGAATCTCTCTAAAGCAAAAGTAATTCAATATTTCTTGGTAAAATTTTCTCATCGAATTTAACTCGTCTAGGTCTCTTGTCTCAACCCCACCCTCACCCCAAAGGATTTTACATGAAAAACAAGTCGAAACGATATAGTCGGGCAAGGCCGCCCTTTAAATACTCTACACCACACAAAAATTATATCTTGTTTCTGTATAAAGGCATATTTTTTATGTGCGCAGTTCTGGGTAGGCGCAACCTAATGCGATACAAGTCTAAGCCTTACCTTAATAGGGCAGGATCCAGAAATAGGCGTAGACGGTCGAAAGCTTGTAGAATTGATTTTTGTATGAAATGACTATTATGGTATAATTTTTATCGTGAAGCATCGAAAATGATACCTTTTTGTTGTATAAATTTCAGTTTTCGGTATATGAGAGGGCGTTTAAAAATTGCCCCAGTCGGTGCAAAGTATATATATCAATTTAGAGTGCCGAAATACTACTATTTAGAGAAATTATAAAACTTACAATTTTTTTCCATATAACGACTTTTCAGAATAGGACGTGATTGGGTGAGTGGTCGAAAAAGTGGACCGATCCGAATCATTTTCAATAGCATTCGTTCTTGGGGCAAAACACGTTACTGTACTAAATTTTATCAAAATATCTCAAAGATTGCGACCTGCAGCTTGAGCGCAAATTCACATGGACCGATATCAGACGAACAGATAGACTTTCATCAATTTAGATTACGATTCTGAATCGATAGACAGTTTTCGATCAAAAATGACGCCGGGATCAGCAATTGAAACAGATTTTTCTAACTATTTAAAGCCCGCTAAAACATTACACGCTTAAATTCGTCATCATTTAAGAAGATAAAGGTTGACGGGTTAGTCGAACTGTAAGTAACCCGCGGTCTTATATTTGGGAAGTACGGTAAGCCGCTTTAAAAACAAGACAAACAGAACAAAACTGAAAGTAAATTTACCAAAATGACAGAAGAGATCACGCCACATGACCGGGAACGGATTATGTATGACTCTCTCAGATACTTTTTAGGACTAGCTATCAAAAAATCCAACGCAAAATGAAATTTTGCCAAATTTTTGCCTTGACTTCTTTGGACACTATTGAAATGCATTATGATTTTAGGAAACTGCAAATCCTATTTTTAATGTTCAAGGTGAATAAAGATCGACTTTTCATATATATATATATATATATTTTTTTTTATATTTTTGGATATGAGCTTTTTTGAGGAATTTGTGCGTGCGGTCGACGGATATAGTATAACGAGGTCTTCATGTGCACACATATGGAGGAACGATATATCATTTCTACATACATAAGAGTAATAATGTTGCTTGCTTTATGTAGATTCTGCCCTAACGAGCGAAAGCCTAGAGGCTCGAAAGAATTAAACGTGCATCTGCTTACATATTAAGTCAAATACAACGAAGTCTTGTTATACGCAGCGCATATATGCACTCATCGGCAAAGTGCCTGTGAGTGAAGAAAATCCTATTTAAAGCAACTTGCGAATGCAAGGAATAAATGACAAGAACACTTCAAACCAATTCCCTTCAATTCTCAAATCTACAATTTATATGAGAAAAATCGAATATTTCGTAAAATGATAAAATGAGAGATAGACTCTGCTTAAGTGTATGGAGTAAAATGGAGTCTTACACCTAGAAAAATGGCATTTACATGGTGCCGAATGAATGAATGACCAAACGTCCAACATACCGTGTGAGATGACCAACTGAAGTTGCTTAGTAAGGAACAGTGCATTTTATAAAAGCATCGCGTAAACCAAATGCGTGGTGTTTGTGACTTGTGCATATAATCACCTGTGAATAGTTTCCTCTAATCGTGCAAATAAAGTTCAACACTATTCTACACTAAGTGCTCGCAATTTTAGGAGGGAGAAGCAACTCTTTTCAATAGTCAAGAGTGATATGAAAAGATAGATGTGGGCGTGGCGAAAGTAAACTTTATAAATACATTTTCCTCAAGATAAACAGTTTTTTCAAATTTATATAAATTCGCCGCAGAGCTCTTTGAAGTGAAGATATGCCTCATAAGAATGGCTTTTACTACTTATTTCTTTCAATACTCAGATATAAAAAATAATAAAGAACTTTGCTTGTTGTGTATTACTAATTTCTCTTCCAACAATCAGAAAACAAGTTTGCTTAGCTTTTCACAGCGGTTGCTTACTTTAAGGAATATTGAGGGTAAGACGTACAAAAAAAGGAGAAATTTTTTTTTTTAGCGATATTACTATTGAACTCAAGATTTTAAAGCACGTACCGTAGAGGTTTCAATTCTTTGCCTAATAATATACTATAAACTTCAATTTCAAAACATTTACTCTTCGCTCGTTCCGGTACGAGATTCTTTAGGATACGTTCGTAACTTGTTATAACTTGATACAAATTTAATTTTCAAAAATGCGCTTTCATTGGAGTTGAGTTTAACTCGCCATGAAAGTCTCTTCAATTTGGTTTGTCTAAATCGTCGATATGTTCGTAATAAGACAATGGGACTTTGGATGCATTTTGATCATTTTTTTCACTTGAAGGAGGCATTTGTATACGAATCGAAACATTTTCTATCGTTTTGTACAACTTCGTTCCATCTTCTTGGCATTATGGCGATACCGTGTCGGAAGAACGATATTCGTTCGAGACATCGCGTAAAAGGAGACTCCACTGTATATACGTGCATATACAGTATCTTCGCTACCTTCTTAAGCTATATTAACAACAGTAATAATTGTGAAGAGACATCATCAACAAGATTGTTGAAGAACCAAAAAATACCTAAATAAAAGGGTTAAGATTATTTTAATTAATTCATAACACGCGAATAAAAATGCTTGTAATGCAATTATACGAAAAAGATATACATTTGGTGAAAGTCGAATCAGTGATTGCATACGCTTATAAAGCACCATAACGTTTTGAATTGCAGCACGCATCATGTCTAGAGTTCTAGTTTTGCACGTCACCGCCTACGATCGAATTGTGTAGCTACGCGTTAAAATTGCACAGTTCTTCCCTTTCGTATTATTTTTATATTGTTATACCTTACACTACTTGTGGTACAGGGTATATTAAATTAATGCAGACGTCTGTGACACGCACAAAGGCTTAAGATAGACCCACCTTTTATTACACTGATCGATTTAGAAACGGATTCTTAACCGACTTAAGCCTGTTTGTCTGTCTGTTGTTTTCAAAAGAAATTTCGAGTTTTATAAAATATATTTCTGGCTGAGATAATTTAATAAAAACAAGTAAGAACATTATAGTCGGGCAAGGCCGGCCATTATAATCGATCGGTCTAACAAAAGGTGGGTCTATCTTAAGCCCTTCCGCACTACTTAATATATCATGTACCACAGGTGGTGTAGAGTATAAAAGTTTGCGAGCAAGTGAATAAAGAAGACAATAAATACTGCCTATGACCATATATGGCTATGTCTTCATAGATGTGAGTTACCCCATTGATTCCCCCATCCATTCCCTATCCTTTATATCAACCATAAAATTTGTCGCAATGTGAATGCACAGTGCAAACTGTACATTCATGAATTCTTCAATAATAACATTCACAGGTCATTCGCATGAACTCTGGCCCTTTCCTCGAAAAAGTTTAATGAATTTGGGTCTAAAATACAAAAACATGTACTACTGCATAAGGCACGATTTACTTTCTCTATTGTAAAACTGCGCGACATTGACTTGCAAAGCATTTCACATAATTTGCTCTTTCCATCGTAAATTGTCAAATCCCTCTAAAGGGCTAATCATGTGGATTCTATAATGCTTAGCTGTATTGGTTTGAAAGTTTCATTTCACGCGATCTGATTACGTAGCTAATATTTTTGGCCAATGTTTTGCACTGATTCGAACCAACTCCGTTTCCCCGTTTATCTCGTTAGGGATGACAAAGGGCAAAGACTTTTGCTCACGCACCAAGTCTGTGATATGATCGAGAGAGTACGTGTAGAAATGTGGAAGCGTTTTCCAAGTGGCTAGTTTCATATTGTACTTAGAGCAAAGAAGATTCAACACAGAGAGATTAAAGTAGAAAGTTTCCTATCTCTTGATAGTAATACATTTAAGGGTGTGAAGATAAACTCGAATTTAACTAGTAAAGACACCTACCATTTCTGTTAACATACCTCTGTTAACGACTTAACAGAGCTCATGTTAAATAATTACAATTGAGATATAGTTGGTTTGAAAGCCTAGTCCGTCCATATTAAAAAAAAGAAAATAATTTTGTGGACATTTCATGAATCCATATAAAACTACCTTTCAAACAAATTAAACAAATTCAAATTCTGCTTATGGGAACAATTTGAAATTTGGTATGTTAGCGAAAAATGCATATGAAAAAACACCCAAATTTGACACTCTGGTGCGGCCAAACTAGAAAATGTCGCCTATATTCACCTATATCATGTAAATCTATATAAAAACGCCTGTCCAATGAGCAAAAAAATTCAAACTTTTCTTTCGGGAGCTGTTTTGAACGATCTTCTCGAAATTTGATAGTTAGCGAAAAATGGTTAGGAGTATAGTATAGCATGTACATATACCAGTGTAGTAAAGTATAGTACTAGTATAGTATATTCTTGCATAATACACTATATTCTAAGACAAAAAAAAAAACTATATTGTAGTACAATGTATTCTAGTACAATAGTTTCTAGTACAAAATACACTATACTGTAGTACAATAATTTTCAGTACAAAATGCACTATACTGTAGTACAATATATTCTAGTACAAAATGCACTATACTGTAGTACAATAATTTTCAGTACAAAACACACTATACTACAGTATACCGTAGTACAATAATTTTCAGTACAATATGCTCTATACTGTAGTAAAATAATTTTCTGTACAAAATAAACTATACTGCAGTACAATAATTTTCAGTACAAAATACAATATACCGTAGTACATTATATTCTAGTACAAAATGCGGTATACTGTGGTACAATAATTTTCAGTACAAGATACACTTACTATAGTATGCTGTAGTACAATAATTTTCAGTACAATATGCTCTATACTGTAGTACAATAATTTTCAGTACAAAATAAACTATACTGCAGTACAATAATTTTCAGTACGAAATGCTCTACACTATAATATACTGTGGTACAATAATTTTCTGTACAAAATACACTATACTGTAGTACAATCATTTTCAGTACAAAATACACTATACTGTAGTACAATATATTCTAGTACAAAATGCACTATACTGTAGTACAATAATTTTCAGTACAAAACACACTATACTACAGTATACCGTAGTACAATAATTTTCAGTACAATATGCTCTATACTGTAGTAAAATAATTTTCTGTACAAAATAAACTATACTGCAGTACAATAATTTTCAGTACAAAATACAATATACCGTAGTACATTATATTCTAGTACAAAATGCGGTATACTGTGGTACAATAATTTTCAGTACAAGATACACTTACTATAGTATGCTGTAGTACAATAATTTTCAGTACAATATGCTCTATACTGTAGTACAATAATTTTCAGTACAAAATAAACTATACTGCAGTACAATAATTTTCAGTACGAAATGCTCTACACTATAATATACTGTGGTACAATAATTTTCTGTACAAAATACACTATACTGTAGTACAATCATTTTCAGTACAAAATACACTATACTGTAGTACAATATATTCTAGTACAAAATGCACTATACTGTAGTACAATAATTTTCAGTACAAAACACACTATACTACGGTATACTGTAGTACAATAATTTTCAGTACAAAATAGACTATACCGTAGTACATTATATTTTAGTACAAAGTGCGGCATTCTGTAGTACGGTATAGTGTATTTTGTACTGAAAATTATTGTACTACAGTATAGTGTATATTGTACTGAAAATTATTGTACTACGGTATACTACCGTGTAGTGCATTTTGTACTAAAAATTATTGTACTACGGTATAGTTTATTTTGTACTGAAAATTATTGTACCACAGTATACCGCATTTTGTACTAGAATATAATGTACTACGGTATATTGTATTTTGTACTGAAAATTATCGTACTACAGTATAGAGCATTTTGTACTGAAAATTATTGTACTAGAGTATACTATAGTATAGTGCATTTTGTACTGAAAATTATTGTACTACAGTATAGTGTATTTTGTACTAGAAACTATTGTACTAGAATATATTGTACTACAATATAGTTTTTTTTTTTGTCTTAGAATATAGTGTATTATGCAAGAGTATACTATACTAGTACTATACTTTACTACACTGGTATATGTATATGCTATACTATACTCCTAACCATTTTTCGCTAACTATCAAATTTTGAGAAGATCGTTCAAAACAGCTCCCGAAAGAAAAGTTTGAATTTTTTTGCTCATTGGACAGGCGTTTTTATATAGATTTACATGATATAGGTGAATATAGGCGACATTTTCTAGTTTGGCCGCACCAGAGTGTCAAATTTGGGTGTTTTTTCATATGCATTTTTCGCTAACATACCAAATTTCAAATTGTTCCCATAAGCAGAATTTGAATTTGTTTAATTTGTTTGAAAGGTAGTTTTATATGGATTCATGAAATGTCCACAAAATTATTTTCTTTTTTTTAATATGGACGGACTAGGCTTTCAAACCAACTATATCTCAATTGTAATTATTTAACATGAGCTCTGTTAAGTCGTTAACAGAGGTATGTTAACAGAAATGGTATGTGTCTTTACTAGTTAAATTCGAGTTTATCTTCACACCCTTAATACATTTGGCATTCTAATCCCAAATGCTTTTGTCGTTGATTAGGAATTGAGAAGGGAGAGATGTGTGCGTGTGTGTAACAAATGAAATAATAGATTTTCAAGACCTTTTTCTATATTTATCTTCTTTCCAGGTAGCAGCACGTTTCTGTGAAGGCGGCCATATTTGTTCCTTACCGCGAGAATGTTGTACACAAGGATGCTGTCCACCTTATCAAAGCGGACCGCGCCAATTACCACCACCGTCAGATCATGTACTGAATTTATTTTTCATAAGCCATTGGTTCTTTTGGTAAGTAAACTCTGTTAAACGTAACATTGATAACAACATATTGTTTCGATTCTATTATATATATATATATATATATGTATGTATATATTATCGCCCAATAAAACCCAATAAACAATTTCTTATCATAAATGTCGTTTTGAAAACATTTGTTACCATCGACTGATTGTACGCATAATGAGCTTAGTGTAAATGGATTTGTTATCGAATTTCAAGAAAGCACTCAAACGTTTTTTACTTTTAATATAAAATATTGACGTATCTAACGTGTGCCGAAACGATTGTTGCAGAATGTGTGAATAGTTATATCGTTATAAATATTAGTTGGCGGAATAGCTCAATATTTTCGAGATTTGTTCACAAAATTTATTTATGTATGTTTACGATTAGTTCTGGTAGATTCGTAATCAGTTTAATTTTACTTAAGATTCCGTTCATTATTCTATCCTTTGTTGTTGAATTCTTCGCCAAAAATTGGACAATGGAGAAAATGTAAACGACTTGAATTTCGTTAATCAAATTTAAAATTGCGTATGGTACGCCCGTAAAGGACGAAGGACTATGGAGCAAGGAAAGCAGGACAAACGAAACATCGAAAAGTTAGAATTGATTCGAAGAGAATAATGAAAGAAACGTGATTTACGTGATTCTCATCAATTTCTATTATGCCCTTGTTGGAGTAAACTCATTCAACTAAGAGAACTTTTCTTCTAAACTATTATTAAGGATCAAACTAAGAGCTGCGCGCTCTCGTTGAGCTTTTTTCACACAACACAGTGAATATTTTGTTGTCGACCTCCGGAAGGGCAGAAAAAGGATAAGAAGAAGCTCCAGGTGAAGTTTTTGAAAATGAAAAAACCATTGATTTCTCTTCCGTTAATCGGATTTCGACCGATCGATCTCGTAAGAATGATAAGAAAAGATTTGAGAGCAAGATCGCTTCTCTAAATAAACTTTTGTGATGATAATCGAGATTCCAATAGGTCGCAGACAAATCGGTTTGAATTGATTAAATTGAAGTGCAGTACGTATTGTGCATGGCATCCGATGGCTACTAATAAGCGTTGCAAGCGTATACACCCAACTTTTTTGTTTCGATTCGTTCCTTAGAAATTCGTGCAAAGAAAAAAAACCGTGTAAATGTGATGATGTATTCCACAACTTTAGGGTATCGTATAAAATGAAAAAACTTTATATATTTTTCGAAAAATCCTGTAAAAAAATTACTAATAATGATTCATTTCGATTTCCCATTCATCGAGCTACTTGATAGTGTGAAGTGTGCACGTTTATCACGAACTGGATCTAAGATGCTATCATCGGTAGATAGGTTGGCTATGTCTCACGAAACTGTCGGCTTTGACTTAAATGAAGATTTCGTTCACGTAGTAGAAGAGCAAGTCACTAACACATGTGCGGATATAAACCGACCGGCTTCTCTTAACAATGTTCTCTCAATTGTATTTTGTTGTTGTGTAGATAAGTTTCTGTGCGACATTGTCAAAATTAGAATCAAAAAAAAAAAAAAAAAAAAAAAAAAAAAAACCAAAGTTTTTGTTTTCTGTTTGGATTCGTGTAAAAAAAGTGCATTTACTCTCATTGGTGAAGTGTGTTATATGAAAGTCTATGTAAAACAAGACTTGAGTGCATATCCTTTACGATATATATGAGTATAAAAAAAATTTGATCACGAAGACGCATTTTATTTTAATTAAAATAAATTGATTATATCAATAACTTATCAATGCCACATCGTCACAGCAGATGTCAAATGTATTTCTCAGTGTAGACTAGCGAAGGTGCATATAAGAAGCATACTTATATACAGATGCTCAAGTGCATCATCCCCCTTTATGTGTGAGGCGACCATCGTCACTACCCTAACAGCCACTATCACAATTATTGTTATTAAATTATCGGTGCTTTGTTTCTATTTTATGTATTTATGTATTTATTGCATCCAAGGTGAAATGGCTTGGAATATATCAAAAATAATGCAGAAAATAATAATTTTGAACCTTTGAGACTATTTAGATCAATGGTATATTCTATTATAAGCAAGAGAATATATTTATGATCGTATACCCTCGATTTATTTGCGCATGCATATGCACATTGGTGGAAGACGATTGTCATATTATGAAGGACAGATTTTACCAAAATTGAACGAAACCATGAGTAGCAAAAAAGAAGATAAACAAATGGATACATCAGCTTATATGCATGTATATATATGTTTATTGAATTGTCACTACAGTGACACTTGACAGTCACTAGGGTATTCTCATCGTCAGTAACCCTACCATCCGGCCTTGTATTATTCTAGCAAATTATGTACATTCGCAAGAGTCACATTTAATGTCTTTTGTATTTTATTCAGTTGTTTTTAAACATTCGTCAAGTATACAACATACACCAAGCAAATGGGCTTTTTAATACAACATCATAAATTTGAAAGAGAACAGTAAAGTCCTTTGTTTACATATATAAGCAATTATACATATATATATATATATATATATATATATATACATATATATATATATAATAATTATGAGCATTATTATCATTATTATCATAATTATTATAATTATTATAATTATTATTATTATTATTGTGGTGATGCAGGGGCAAACTTGAACGGTAACGGTTTACATTGCATTTCAGGTGTGTCGTGGTAGCGATTATTTTAGCCATCCTGTGCGCGTATTCTTTGTGGAAAAAACGACGCACACTCTGTGGTTGGGGTTTCAACGAACATAATGCACAATCGGAAGGCGACTCAGCCGGTTCATGTTATGCTCCTCCACAATACAGCCGTTGTAATTCATTTCTTCACCCACCACCGCCATACACTGAGGTAAGTAAATCATTAAATTTCATCTCATCATTTCTTAGAATATATGTGCCCACTTGAAAGTAAGAGATAGGGGGCCATGATATTCTATAATGCTTTCCATAATGAAATTTCCACAGATTCCTCTTGCACTTGCTTCTCCTCCCACAAATATGTTACACAGATGAGAAAGGACAGTTAAATAGTTCGTGAAAAGTGAAAATTCGAACCGTTATTTTAAGAATGTATTTGTCAAGATCGACGAGCTTTTCAAAGTTATGGCAAACTATCACAAGTTAAAACGTCAAAAACCACTGAAATAAATATTACGTCTATTGGTTCATGCGTATCGAAGATGTTTTAATATGACTCTGCCATTCGTATGATTTGAAGGTTTTCATTAAGATCAAAATTTCCCAGGCATTCCGGTCTTAGAGGATATGCCTTCCTCCGAAGCGTGTTTCGTTATTAATCTGAAAAGCCTTAACTTTTATAGGCATTATAGTAGTTAATGATTGCAGATTTCATGTATTCAGATCGATATATATATTTTTGGTGAAATATTTGAAATTCTAAGGATGTCTGTCTCAATTAGAGAGTTTGAGAGATTAGCTATTTATAGAAGAATCCAAAAACAGCCCTTTTCTAATTTTCGACCGCTATTGCACTCACAAGTTTTTTTTTTTTTGTCAATTTTAATGTTGCTTTACTTTTTCCAAGCGAAAGTGATGCAATCATCTTTCATAAGCTTTCCCGCACTTTCTCTTCGCTTCCATTTTTCAAATCTTTTTGCGTCTTATTACCATTTCTCTCATAATCATGATATCATTTATTCAATTGAATCGATAAATAAAGACGCGGTCTTAGCGCAAAAGCGTCAACAGTTTTATATTGTTGTGTTGTGTTATGCTCTGCTGTTAAGATGACACTGTTAAAGCAAATACCTTTGATAAGTTTCTTTATTGAAATTGCATATATTTTTAATAGGTCACATCGAAACCGGACTTATATCCTTTAGTTTATACATGTAATGGTGATAACGGTAAAAATGGTTCCAGTTATTTAATGGTGCAATATTTTCGCAATTACATTGTACGTCCAGCCGGATCATTATCCGCTGCAAGCACCGTAGATTCACTTAGCTCTAGTTTTATATGTAACATTAATGAAGCAAACACATTGGTACCACCACCGTATTCGAGGGCAGCCAGCCCTGATGTAGGTTTCAATTCACATTTCCAGCAACAATACATGATGCCACGATCGGCTTCGCAAGTAGTATGCCAAAACATTACCAATGCTCTGGCGGCAAATGGCGCTGGCGGACAATACGAAATGAATGGGAATATATTAGGTCAACAGCTTTATTATGGACGTGGTGCGGGCAATCACTATGCAACTGTGACCATAAACTCAGCTATGGGTCGAGTGGGCGGTGTCGGTGGCTCGGTGATAACCGATCGTATTGGAAATTATAATGCCAATCCGCTTGATTCGGAAAGCGGGACATTATATGACGAAATGGATGATTCAGTGGAACGCACAAGTGATCATGTCAATGCCAATGTGATAAATAGCGGGGAAATGCGTACGCTTCCTAACAGTACCGGATTTGTGCAATCCCAAAGCGATCAGCATTTTCGCTACATAACAAATAGCAATAGCAGCATTAGTGATATTTTTGTTAATAATAGTTGTGCGGCAGGAATTGGCGGTGGTGGTGGTGGCGTCGCTACCGACAACGTTAGTGGTACACAACGTTCCGAAGATACGTCCGTGTCAGGTTCGGTTTCGGGTGCAGCTGGCGGTATCGGCGTTGTGGTGCATCCACAAGTAGGTGGCACACCAGTAATCTATAGCAATGGCAGTATAAAGCCGAATCCGTTACATCGTGCAAGTACTAATCCTACACAATTTACTGTCGAATCTCCAAGGGATCCGCTCTACCAATCCAATAATTCGATAGGTGGTATTTCGATAACCGTACCGGCCACATGTAGTGCTGATAATTCTACAATTTTGCGTAATGGAAATGAATTAAGAGATTTGCAAATGTTACGACGAAGCTTGGAAACGTGCTGTCAGTTATTGCAACAACAACAGAAACTGCCATCGGGGAGCTTTGGTGTTGGCGATTCACCGCTACGTATGAACGATCTAACCAAAAAGTATATCGATGAAGGTCTATTACGCAGTTACTTTACGTCGGGAACTTGCTCCGGCGTTAGCAGTTTGGCTAATATCGGGACACCTACATCACCTCCGCAGGCCACTAGTCCTACGGGCGAAGTAAAAGAAATTATCGATCAAATACGTCAGTTACAAGAGGGAGTCTATAAATATGAAGAGGACCTATTTTTAAGATCAACACGTCCCGTATTGCAGCAGACTTTATCCTCCCCTTCGCCCACAATCATTGAAAATAATAGTAAATTGCAACGAATAGCTACAATGCCTGAGCCACAAACGAGCCTAATTGATAACGTAGGCCCGAATTCGGCCTCAGCTGTTTCACCTAATGCTTCTGCAGCCAACACGCCATCATCATCAAGTGCAGCAGTGGGGACTAATGGCAATAAATTGACGAGCAGCAAATCATTAATCAGCAGTACCGGAGTTAGCGGCATATTTACCTCCAGTAAACGACCCTCAAGTTTGCAGCAGAGCAAAAAACGATTTTATTGTTCCAAACCTCCCAGTAAAGCTATGTATATACCGATGATGGCTACAAATACAGTAACATCAGGTAATCGTTGCATACTGAAGAGTCCAGTTAGCAATGTTGTTGCATCAAGTTTCTTTGTTAATCGCGGGAATCGTTCGCGCAAAGGTTGGATATCCCGTTCCGCCCCAACAACGCCGGCTACACCATTACCACCAAATTATCTCGGGGACGATAGCCCTCTCCTGCACGAACACGACGAGGATCAAGAAGGCGAACAATCTGCTGAAATGGATTAATTTCCAAAAAGGTATTTCTTTAACAAAATAACTTTTAAACATAATTAAAAGTTCTACGTATATTTAATTTTTATATTAAGTTATCAAAAATAATAGACTGATTGATTGATCGATATGCAAGCATATCCGTAGTCAAAAGGTATGAATGGGTGCAAGTGATCCTTCAACAAGCTTCAATTTGAAATTTCCTTTGATGAATGTCTTATAAAAAGAAACCAAAAAAAAAAAAAAAAGGCAAACAAACGTATCCTTCTCTAGATTAGTATTTATTTTTTTTGTACCTTTTTAACTACAGATATGCAAGATCAAGCGAAAATCGTAAGATCGCGAAGCGAGTGATTACGGACATCGGACATAAATAGACGTAGGGGTAAAGTGAAAGATATATTCGTTGTCTACGTTAAGAAATGTTTTATATAGCATTACTATAGTAAGCTTTCCATTTGAAAAATGTCAACTATATTGTTTTAAAAATTGGGCAAGTAAGTCCTCTTAGACACCATCACCCCCTCATCCCTTTCCATCTGCTCGGCCGCAAGAAAATGTATCTTTAGTTACGAGACGATTCGAGACAATGTAAATGTTAATGTTGTTGGGACGAAGATTTACTTTATTATACGACCATCACTTAATAGATAAAGATATATAGCGCGGATTGTCTACTTTTATATGCGTTATAAAATGTATGATTCAGTCTCAGTCGTGTCATTTTTTAGTCTCATTTTTTTTCACCTCTTTACGTCAAGGGGTGTTTTTTTTTTTTTTTTTTTTGCCAGTACAAGTCATAATTCGGAACGTGACGAGTCATAATGCAGGTGAGGCAAAACGCTAACATCGATGGTAAGCCTGAATATATATGACATGCTTGGACATTTTGGAAGAATCACTTACGTATTGTGTATTATGATTTAGTACAACTCAACCTCGACAACGTTGCGACATCAACTAATATGACTAAGCCGGCTATTGTAGGGAAACGGATGCGAAAGACACAATACCAAAAACCATGGCTTCGTATCCGTTGGAAACATAAGCTCTGCAGGAGTTGATCCCTCCTCTTCCTCCTCCTTTTATTATTGTTCATTCCGATTAACATTCACTTGAATCGGTGACATATGATCTGTGAAACGCATGATGATGACGGCTACAAATGCGATAAGAAGACGAGTTCGTAGCTGAACAAAATGCATGCATATGCACTGTGTGTTACTGCAGTAATATAATGCATTGAACTGCTAGAACACGTTAGCTCTCAAAATTGTATGATGCTTAAAAACTATATCATATGATAAGATTTTGTTTAGGCAAATATCGTCGTTTTACTCGGCAATTCCCATACGCTTGCAGCGGCAATGAAAGTTAGCCGTTCACATGATTTACTTAAGTAACGCTGGCAAGTTGTGTGTGTGCTATTGTAAGTGAATAGGTGCAATTATCTCATGCTTTGACATTTGAAGAGCATGATATATGATGCATTGTGTTCGAGGGGATAACGACGTATGAAACATTTAGCTTTCGCTGTTGCAGCGAGCTTCTACGATTCAATATATCGTCATATATGTATATATGTATAGGATAATCTTAGCAAAATTTTACTACAACCCTTGAATATAGAAAAACTCGTTTTACCAATTATCCCGACATTCTGTCCTCTGGCAATAACATCGCAAAAGACCTGCTGTCAGCAGTTTGGTTCGACGTAAAGGCAACAGGGTTGAGCATAAGAGAAGACATTTTCAACAAAAATATGCAAGAAGATCCAATCATTGGCAAAGGAGTTAAAACGTTTGCATATTGAGTTTTACTTCTTTACTGTCGGTAAAGTTCAAGTAGCTTAAGCCATTCGAATATATAATGTACTAGATTGGACTGTTTTCAGTATGATGAGGTCTAGTAAACTTTTTTAGGTCTAAATTGATTGATCTGGACTTTAATCGTAAATGAACTGTAAGCATTACGAGCTAGACAATGTGCCAAAACACCGATTTATTACACGGTAAGTCCAGTAAGTCCAATAATTTGACAAAGCGTTAAGGAAAATGTACAATTAAAATGGTCGGGGTCCGCTGGCCTCTTTTTTTTGCAGCGACTATCTGCAGTGGAAAGTGTATACGCTATTCAAGAAAGTTTTGATTCTTAGATAAAGGTCTATAGGCGGTGCTTTACTAAACATTTACATAGTAGTATTTTGCATGCATAGAAATGACGTAGGATGAATAAAAATAATTCAGAAGTTAGTCCACAGTTTGAGTTGAGTTAAAAATCAACACTGATTTCGTAAATTTTTATATTATACATAATGTTCGTGATGTCTGTATTGAATCCAAGATAGAATCGGAGCAAACATGCAATTCTGTATAGAATTGAAATAATTTCATGTAACACATCAGCGATGGTGGATAGATTCATAGGGCGACATTCATAGATCTCGCTAATTTTACTGAGTCCTATATGATTTTTGGATAATATCAGCCTTGATCGCATTCCAATCGCATTAGTTTATAAGTGATAGACAATTTGAAATTTGAAAAAATATCGTATCTAAATTATTGGCCGAAATGACATCAACTTACGAACTTATTGAGTGATATGTTGCAAGCATGTGTTGCTTTAGAGATAAGACAATTATGCCGACAATAAATCGAAAACATATATTATGCCCAGAGAAAAAGAAAGATAACGGAAGATATGAGAAAGCTCAAGGGAAGAAAAGCTAGAACAAGATAAAGAAAAATTTCTCTTATTAAAAAAATAGTTAGATGAGAAAAAAAACAAAAAAAAACATAAATAAATAATAATAATAAGAAATAATAAATATTTGGATTAGAAACTTTTAATGAATTAAATTTTTTTTTTTTTTTTCACTTTCCTTCTTTCTGTTTTCTTTTTTTTAATGAAAAAAGAAATTACAATTTTCGTTACATGTCGTTTTACTATTACGTTATGCGTTTGGCGAAAGTAAAGCCAGGCTCGAAATTCACATTTCACGAATTCAAGATTCGAAAAATACCTTACTGATATAGATTGCAAGATGATTGTCAAATCACTTTTCAGTTCCATTTAAATAGCGTCACATGTACTTCGCAGCATTAACTCTACAAAATAACGAACGATTCGTAGGTGAACCATATGATTATATAGTTATTAGTTAGATTTTTATTAAGAAAATTTGTCCTAAACTTCGATATTTTAATAGCGATTATTGAAAATTCGCTGCTGAAGCTGAATGTAACTCAATTTCGAATCCATTTATTTAGAATACTTTAGTGCGTAAAGCAATAATAATAGATTAGGTTAGAAGACACAAAACTAGGCCGAGTAAATATTAAATATGATGTGTTGTGTTAATCTCTAAGAATGCACACGCACCCACGCACACACTCCCTCCGCCGTCCTTTCATTCTGATAAAATAAACGATGCTAATGTGTGTGTGTGTGTGTATGTATGTGTGTGTGTGTGGTGTGTGTGTGTGTGTGTGTGTGTAGCTAATGTGTTAACATGTGATACCTAGAACAACTCTATTTTAACGCGCACTGATAACTTTCTTTCCTCTCTTTATAGCCGATACTAAAGCGCAAAGGCATAGTAATTTCGTTACTGCGCTTACAATAGCCAATGTGTAGGATTAACAGAAGAGCTCAAGGAGCGACTAAAGACTACGAGAGACAGACAACCAAAACCCAATTAAATGATAACGTTTTTTTCTCCCTCTCTCGCTATGGAAATGCAATTTTATACTGATCAAATGAAATACTTCTGTGTTCATAATTGCCTCGATTCTGTATAACTGCAGAAATGATATCACGTTTTTGCTTAACGGATGGGAGCGAAACATTTGTGCTTGCTTGTTTGCATATTTTGCGAAAGTGACTGAAGTCAATTTCGAAATGTATATTCCGTATAGATTCGATGCATTATGCATTGTCGAAATCTTTATCGGAATTCCGTGTATAGAAACATCACTAATATACTGTAGTTTCCGTTGCGATATTTCGACAGATATTGGATGCAATTGCTTCTCTGCTCTATCAGACATCAACTCCTAAAACTGATATACATGCGTAATTAGTTTAAGTTTTCAAAAGCCATAGATAGCAAAGGTAAAGTTTGAAGTTATTACATTATTTGTCGTTGAAGTATTCATAGAGACCTGTCCGTCTCTTGATTTCTATCTGTTTCCAAACTTTGACAAATTTCTACATGCCGAACGCTTTGCCCTCAAACGAAAAAATACTGAAAATCTTTAGGAAAATCGTCTCAAATATATAGCACATAAGTAGAATAACTATTCGCAAAAATATTGTTATGCAATTCGCTTTTCTAAGATAGGACTCGCACCACTAGATTATGGATATTCTTTTCAAGAGAAATACACATCAAAGTTCTATAATTTACAATTACATTCCTTAAGAGTAGAATTATTCACAATTTATTTTTGGCAATGCTTTCGACTGCTCAACCCAAATATTCGTTTTCTTGCTACCCTACCTCCCACAAATATTCTATATATACACATTCTTACAAGCATATTGCTATGCCTAAATTCACGGCTTCATTTTTAATCCGTTAACCTGCTTTTCCGCTAATCGTTTTCATCGGCCGGCAGCTGCATGACGCGCCGCGAATGTGCATTTGGTTTTTCCCGCTTTAGGGCATTTATTATTTGAGAAAATTGATTAACTGGAATGAACTCGATTTGGGATTTGCTTAACAATATATTGTAATTAGGAAGAAATTTTTTGTTTAGAATAAAGTTTTTCTTTACGCTACAGAATTGCTTTGCGATTCTCGCTCCATCAGTTTTTCAATTCAATTAGGTGATCAGCGAGGTCATTCTAAAAAAGTTCAATCCGCTTTCAATATCGAGTCGAAATTTGAGGTTGGAGCTACAAGCGAGTGCGCAGCAATGCCCTTAACTGAAAAGACTGTACTTTTTTGTATACACTAAAAATTATAGCATTTCAGATTTAACGAATGAACTCTCCGTAGAACTCTTTAGTATTAAATGGCGTTAAATGAAAAATCAGATGAATACTCCTTGAATTACTTGAGAACAGCTGGTCCCTGCCAAAGCCTTTCAAAACTTTATTCTTCTATATACTCCTTATCATCATTTTTATGCACATCATATTGCAACAATGTCTGTAAACTTTTTTCAGTTCTCTAGAAGCGAGTAAGACTTGAGTTTAAAGATTCACTATTCAGACAACAGATTTTGAACAGTTACGTTTTTAGTTACTTATGAGATACGCGCTATATTTTCTACAAACCTATAAATAGCAAGACTGAAAACCTACTGACGCATGAAGAATGAAAATTTGAATGCGGAAAATTCGTGTCGCATACTATACCTTGGTTTCAATGAACGCTTTCATGTTGCAATGTAATGAGCAATTCGTGCCGCGACCTAAAAAGAGCAATTATATCCATGTCTTGATATTATTATGCTAATGACTAAGATAAATAATTATTCAGATTAAATGATCGAGACTTGGTCGAAATAAACAAATTTTTTTTCAATATGTATGATGTATATGGGCCTAGAAAAGATTTTCATAAAATGTTCTCGATGAGGAAAATTCATTCAATTGAAATATCGATGCTGAAATGTCTAAGAAATATTCGTCAGCAATTGCCATTATAACTTGGCCGGGGAAACGCTATTTAATCAAACTTGTAAACTAATTGTCCGAATGTTATGAACAATTGTCACCTATCGTGCTTGAAAGTTAGTAAGCAGTATTCAGAAATCATATGGGTCTGGCAACACTGATGTCGTACATATGTCAATTAGGCGAATTATTGAGTGATGTGTTATCTATTTGCTGCTTTAATGGTTTAGGACCAAAACTGATGTCACATTTATTATTCATGGTCGAAACATTCGAAGGCATGGCCTCATTGAACCTTATTTAGGGAATTGAGCAAAGATCGAAAAAAATTATAGTTTGATGGCAAAAGATCAGGGTCCGCGCTATAGAATGAAAGTCCCGAACTGATTTATCTTACTTAACAAGGCTTTAGTGTTTGCTTTGAATTGTTAGACATAATTACTTCAATCATCTGCTGTACAGGTTATGCAATCTGACGTCGAAAATGCCTATCATGGAAAAGCAAAAAGTGGAAATTGAATCGATCTCCTCTCTTCGACGATAACTTTCTTGCTTCGTTAACGTTCATTTTGTCATTTGCCTGAACATCCAAATAACTTTTGACCGGATTTATTGAGGCTTTTAAATGTCTGACAGGGAGAACGCATACCCACGTATATCCCATGACCAAAATCATAACTGTACCTTAAAGGCTACGCGATATTAAGCTGATCAAGCTGGCATTTCATTTAAATTTTTACGGGGCGTGCACAAACATGACAAAAAAGAATTATATTTGATGTCAAGGTTATTTTTGTTTAAATATCGCAACTTATTCAACCTTCCCTCCGGATTAACGAATGTTTACGTTTACGCACAAAGGTAATATGACAATTTCGCATTACTTACTTTTAGATGGTAAAGATGTATGCTTTCAGTTCCTCATCTTTTTTTTTTTTTTTTTTTTTTGTTTTGCAAAAAATCCATACATACACACATAACAATAAATGGTTGGTGAGTATGAAATGAATTGAGTCGACTTAAGCTTGAGTTAATCGTATTTCTTTATTTTTGACGCAATTTCAAAATCACTTAGAATTAAATAGAATTGAATTAATTTATAAACAATATAAAATTAGATATTTATTAATGTATGTAAGAATTTAGAACTGCAAATGTAATTTACTAGCAAAAGATATGTTGCAAATAAAAATAACAACAACAAAAAAAAAAAAAAGAAAAGAAAAACAATAATCACAAAATATTGAAATGCTTTTAATGTTAGTTTTTAAGCAAGAATTCAAATACGAAAATACTAAACTAAGTAATTAAATATTTTTGGGCTTTTAACTTATAGAAAGAACTAACAAAAAAAAAAAAAAAATTAAGAAAACTGATGTGAGAAACTTGCAATTGTAAAAAAAAAAAAAAAATGAAGAAACAAAATTAAGAGTAATAACAATGAGAACAACAAAAACAACAACAATTAACACATTATAAACTTAGGCATACTATAACTAACTGCATTCATTGCGACACAACAGTATTAATATGTATGTCCTTATGCATGCGTGTATGTGTGAATGTATATATGAAAGGAATTTTTTAATGCCTGTAACGATACGCATAGGAGATGCTTACCTGGAGACGTTCACATAAGCCATACTTACTTATATACAACACATAAACGAAGCACATACACACACACACATATATATATATATATATTAAAACACTAATAACACGCAATTCAATGGATTAATAATGCAAAAGTGCCTTTTGACAATGAAAATAGTTATGATACCACAATAATAATAATAATAATAATAATAATAATAATAATAATAATAACGAAAATAATAATTATATTTATTAACAACAATCTGGAAAAAAAAAAACACAAATTTGCAAAAAAAACATTCATAACTTTGAGCAAAAGAACACACTTGGAAATACTAATTTTAAAAACACACAAACACGTACACACATTAATTGAAACAACTAAGCGAATTTTTCTATTTGCCCGAGGGCGAATCGTGAACATCCGCTGCCTAGATTTTCAATACATTATATACATTCTTTTTTTCATATTATGGGCGTGTTGTGAAATTTTTTTTCAAATTTCTTTTAAGTGACTTTAATTGCAAAAAAAAAAATTGCATGTCCGTTGCAAAAATCTACGTCATCCTATCACCCTATCAAACCTTGGAATTGTTCGTTTAAAAAAATGTTCAGTTACCAAGTCCTTGACCCAATGTTTTTTACTAATCTGTAATAATGATTTTCTTATCATTTTCGATATAATTCGTCTGTGTCGTAAATCAATTCATGAACTAAAGGGTTCTTATACACTAGCCTACTATTCAAGACCCATGAATTATTCGTAGAAATGATGAATGAATTCCTGAAAGTGCAGCAGTCAATTTCAGTACCTTTTTGTATCACGGGAAGCACGGCATCATTAAAAAATTCTATTAATTCTATCTATCAAAAGTTAAAAGTGTTCACTTTGTGGTAGCGTTTGGAAATTTGGTTTAGCGCACGGCATAGTTTTCGGATTTCAATCAAAAGCTTAACTATAATTTGCTAACGTTAACGGAGCGGGCGTTTCTTCCGATTTTGAATCAAAAACGAACCAATGCCGTAAAAGTAAAGAACAACAAAACTTTAGAAGAAAAAAATCTCATGCGAGAAAAATAATTTTTATGACAACCACGCATGAGATTTTTTATTTTTAATGTTCTCCATCACACAGGCGATGTGCCTTATTTGTGTAACAGAATGATATTTAGAAAGAAATGAGGAAAAAGAGAGAGTGATAAGGAGGTGGCCGCAGATCCGTGGGGCATGTGCCCAATTAGCTTATGCCTTTCGTTACGCACTGCATACTACGTTTCCCGACTATGCATTCATTGAACTGTATCACTCTGCCTTACTGACTAATCGACTCGAAAGAAATATCCACTCCGGGCCCAAGTTCATTATCTTAGTTTTTGTAACTACAGATATGTCAAAGTTAAATCGTTACGTTATACTAACGTATAAGCAGTTAAGGGGAATGGAAGAGATAAACATATGTCTAAAGTTATGATGAAATCGTTGCGAATTCAATTTCTAGACGGTGGAATTCATAAAAGGCGATTAAATGCAAAATGAATAAAAGACGTAACTAAAACAAAATAAATTGCTTAAAACACATTTACTGTTCCGCTATGGACATAATCTATACATGCCAAGTCTTTTAATACCTCTATACATAATTGTAAGTATAATTTTTATTTTACGAATTCGCGTTTAGAAGAACCTTGTCTAAAAATGATGGAAACCACTCTTTTTAGAAGAAGGCGTTTAAACAATTAAAAAAGTTTTTATAGAAATTTTTTCTTCAGAAAATGCCATCGATGATCGTATGTATGTAAGTGAAGTAGAGCAAATCGAGTGTGAAAAGTTTTCAAGCTTACAAACGTTCAGAAGTTGTTGGGAGTGTTTATACTCATGAACGTGAAAAACTTCGCTATGTTTTACATCAGAAGTTGCTGAGAAAGAAGGCGCACTAAAACATATATGCAATATTTTAAATCATATTTCTCAGCATATATATATTAGATGATTTGATGATGAACGCAGACGTTTTGGCCGATTCAAATAACCTTTTGAAATTGATCAAGCGGTAATAGTAAAGAAGAATTTAAGTCTCAGTTCAACCAAAGTGCTCAGTTAGTAGTCCAAGGAGAAGGAAGAAAAATAGGTAGGAAAAAAAAACTAACTATGACAAAAGGCGTATATAATGCCATCGACTCGCCGATTGAATACCCTACTCCATATTGTCTAACACGATTCTTATTTTTACCATAGAGCACAAAAAATACCAGATTTTTATGTGAACTTACTAATATGGAACTATTATGGAAAAATTAGACTTATTTGCGAAAAAAAGGCTTAGTTTCCGTAAGAATAATTGTGCACAAAAGGTTCAAAAACTGATATACATGTTCAAAATTCAGTATAGTTAATTGTTATATCAGATCACTGTTATGGATCAATTTTCATCATAAAATATTAAAACCTCAAATTTTCTGCCCTAAAAAACAAAAACTCTCATGAAAATCCTTATATAGGATAGGCTCCAAAAATAGACGTACGTAGTCCAAATTTTGTATTGTTAATTTTTATATCAATTTTCTATTATGGGCTAATTTTCATCATAACATAATAAATTGAAACTTTCCTGCCCTATAAAGGCTCAATTTTCTTGTATAGGGTGATATCCAAAAAATAGACGGACTTGACCCAAATTTGGTATAATTAATTTTTTTACCTTAAATTACTATTATGATCTGATTTTCATCATGAAGCATTGAAAATTAAATCGTTTTGTCCTTGAGTTCAGATGACGTTCAAAAAATTGCCCCCACCGGTTGAAACTTTGCACGTCTATTTAGATTGCTAAAGTACTACTAATATTTAGCGACTTTTGTCGAGAAATTTTGAAAATTTGCAAATTTTTCCATATAACGACTTTTGAAAATTGGATGTTATATGGGGAGTGACCGAAAAAGTAAACCAATTTAAAACGTTTTCAAGAGCGTTTGTCTTTGGATCAAAACACATCGGCCTAGTTGAACAGCTTGGACATAAATTTATATGAACAGAACGTCAGACGCATAAACAGGCTTGGATCTATTCAGAAAAAGATTCCGAATCGTTTCCTTATAATAATAATAAAAAGTAGGTCTACCTTAAGCCCTTCTGCGCATCACACATGTTCGCACAAACTTTATATTCCCGTACTGCAATTAGTAGGGTATAAAAAGAGCATCCACGATCTGTTGCAATATAAACATAATCACTAAAATTATCGACAGCTACTAGTTTCATTAACTGTATGGCGATCAATGCCCAATCAACTCCTAATGTGATTCGTCTTTCAAATTACCTTTTTGGCAGATATGTTTAGTTAAGCCAATCAAAGAGTGCATAAAAAAAGAGAAAAACCAAAGTACAATATTGTACGTTTCACGCTATATTCCCATAATCGATACATTATTGATCGTCTTTTTAGATTACAATATTTTACGAAAATCTATGAAAACTTGTAAAAAATTATTACATGACATATATTTTATATAGATCCATAGTATCAGCACAATACGATATATAATTATTACTAATGCCACTACTTACTACAACAAACAAGCTTAAGATTATTATAATAAAAAATAAAGATAGAAAAAAAAAAGTAAAAATTTAACAAATTGTTAAGTAAATCACTGCTTAAGCGATATGGCTTCCTTATGACTTTTCTCAGCAGTTCTTAATTTATTGTCAAACTCATGGGTGACTTCCTTATAATAAGTACCAAGTTCATCGCGTACAGTTTTATACCATCTGTCAAGTTTAGGACGATGAATAAACGGATTGAAACCAATATATTCTGGAAACAAGAGAAAGAAACATTCAATTACTAATAATCGAAAAGGGATTTCAGTCATCCAAAAATAGTTACTAGGCTGATCGATTTCACAGATGGCCAATAAATCGGCATAGGAGATATTATCGCCGATCATGAAACCCTTCGAGTGTAAGAATAATTGCTCAAACTCATTCAAGGTGTGATTAAGTTGTTTTTCTGCCACATTAACCTAAGTTTAAAATGAAAAGAGGAAGAATGCATAAGAAATAATCGAAGTAGACCAAAGTAGATTAAGGATCGAAAGTTTACGGCCAATTTGATTCTATATCACTTACCGCACTTTCGTTTGGTTGTCTTTTCTGCAAGTATGGAACCAACCATTTTTGCTGGAAATAATCGGTAGAAGCTAAGCCTAAATTACGTTGTCGCCATTCCAAAAACTCATCGATACGACTGCGTCCGAAATTTTTACGTGGATACCAATGTTCAGGTATAATATTTTCACGGATCAAATGCCGAAACATAGCCACACTTTCCGACAACTGAAGATTATGATCAGTTAGAGCAGGGACTTTTTTAAAACGTGTCACTTTATCCCGATATTCTCCCGTCAAGTGTTCACCTGAATTATTAAAAATTAAACGTCAGCATTTTTGATAAAAAAAAATGAAAAATCTTAATATAAATTTTTACATTTTAACACCATGAACACTACTCACTGCATTTTAAAATCATAAAACTTCATAAATGAACAATCAATCGAATCTAAATATTTGTTGTTCCCTAAATGCCCTCTTGGAATATAAATTCTGTTCGTCAAATTGCAAGCAAGAAAGCTCAATACCATTGCACTTATTTTAGGTATTAGACAGAAGTCGAACATAATATATGTTGCTCTAATCAGAGATGGTTTACCGCATAGCTTAGCAGGTAAGAGACGCAATTATGAAGTTCTCATGCCCGGAGTCAACGCCTACGTCAGTTAAAATTCGTATATGGGCGTTGCTAACGTGTCTTTTGACCGGTGTGACCGGTGCGTGCAATGACTTTTAATATTTTTGCAAAATTTTATGTCAATAGTGCGGCCGGGACAACAGACGTTGCACAGACGGACAGACGGGCTTACTTAGATCGATTCAGAATTTGATGCTGATCAAGAATATATATATATATATATATATATATATGGTTTGTGGGATCTCTGAAGCATCTTTTCGGGACGCTGCAAACGACTTGACAAAATGAATGCACCCCTCAGCGTTCGATGATAGATATAAATAGGAGGATTTTAGGCAAGTTGGCACCTTTCACCATCGAAAGTGTTAATAGGAAGAATTGAGACATACGATATAATATAAATTGCATACATATTGACTATAAATAATGGTTTGATGCACAATATTTGCAACATTTTAAGAGCACTGCTCGAAAAAGTCAATTATTCTCAGCGAACGTCTTTATAGATAGCGCTAACACTTAGCACGACTTAGGGGACTGAAATGATGATTACCTAAAATGGTCCATTTATTCATCTTTTATATAAATTCGAAGTGTGTTACGTAAGTGTGATGTGGAATTACCCATCCCGGGTTTTCGTACAGTGAATGCAGACGTCTCCCGCTTAACACGGCTAATTCGTGCAGTTCATGCATCGAAACTAGAATATCGTGCAGCCCGACATAATTTAAACAGTAAATGTGTATCGTAGTGTATTAAAATCTTATTCACGTTGCATCCAAACCATGTTATAAGACATCTATGTCCTGTTGAACTTTATCGAAATCAAGTTTTACGATTCTAAAATCTTATGATGAAAATATTCAGTGATGAAGTTTTGCTTTATGAAAACAAAACAAAAAAAAAGCAACGCATTTTAATGAATTATAAAAAATAAAAATGTGTTCAAAAAGTAGTGATGACGAACTATGAGTGAAAATCGTGTCATGAGTTCATTCACTTTCCCCCATTACCCACCAGCTGTCAAGTTCATCATGTGTCCAGGCCACTTTTGTTCATATGTAATATATCGTATCGTACGTTAAGTTAGCATTGCTTTATCTTTTCCGTACATATCACTATGGATTCATTCGATGAACGCTTTCTTCGTTTCAATGTAATATAGTGTGGGCTTCGAAGAGACAAAAAAGCATGTCTTACAATCCTAATAGACGCCGCCTTAGGGAATAAATATATTTTTTATTTTTTAAGTCAGGCGGCGGCGTTTGACTAATAAATTGTATGTGTAAACTGATGAGCGTAAACTATGACTGGTTCTTGTAAATTCCCCTATGAGCTGTAAAATTCAATCTTTTTTTTCTTTTGTGCTAACATGAGAGAGAGAATTTTCGCATTATTATTTAAGTATATTCGGAATCAAAATGTTTGCCGGGCTGAATAATTGTGGTAACCTTGCATTAAATTATTGTAATAATTTCAAGCAATTAATTTTTACTTGTGCCGACATAACGTAAAGCATGCTAACTTTGCCATTGCGTTTGCAGCAAATCTACCAGGAATCAGGTCTATGAGCTAAAGCCGATGCTCGTAAATATTTTACTTCCTGGCATTTCACGATTGTTGCGAACGATTGTCCTTCACCTTAAATTATTTTTTCTTTCGTGTTTTGTGAATGGATCATATCTATTTCGCAAGGGATTTCCCTCCCTCCCTCCCTCTCTCTCTCTCTCTCACTCTCTCTCTCTCTCTATCTCTCTGTGTCTTCATCGAATCAGGATAAATTATAAATAAATATGTCAAATTTTAATTTTCTATCTCAATTTTATTGCGTAACACGAAATGATAGCGCGAAGTAATCCTGGCTCTGGCTAAGCTAATTCAGAATCTTCCATTGATCAAAAATATTGTATTCAGAGTGTTTGATTTTCCATACAATCATTACTACTATCGATTTTCGACGTCCGGTCATAATACCCCCGACGAACTGGTCACAACGATCAACAATGTTTATGTATAAGCCACCTCGTATTATATTAATTTGTTGAACTTGAAGAATATGTATATATTCAGTGATGAAATTTATGCTTTTGCTCAACGTTAGATTCCCAGGCGATTTAATCAAGTCTGTTCGCTTAACTAATTGTTCGTCATTTGCATGGTTAAATTCATAAAAGCCTCTAAACGGTAAACTTGAGAATTATAAAAAAAAAAAATTTCCCCTCTTGGATGACATTTACATATTGACCAGATTTTCCGTAGCGTTCATCATTGGACCAAAACACCCAAAAACTGCGATCTGCCTGCTAACCGCTTAAACGCATGGACCGATGGATATACAGAAAAGTTTAGATTTCGAAAATGATTCTGAATCGGTCGGTATAGTAAAAGGCAATAAATGGATTTTAAAATGTTATAGCCTAGCTTAAGACAAAACGGCATTGCCATCGATTGGCTCTCACTTCTTATATGTCAGTTACAGTTACAGCAACATTTGCAATCCATTAAAAACGCGCTTAAACAATAAACGGGACAGACGGATAGACAGACGAGCTTATTAGGTGTATATATATATAGAGTTGCACCTATCGCAAAAGTCCTTCTGGATATTGCACACATGCAAGCAAACTTAATACAGCTCTGCATCATAGCGCATATAGAATAAAGACATGTTGGGTAAGAGTCGGTATAGCATTGAAAAAACCGTTTGCAACTTTTTTCTGAAAACAATTTAAATTTTTAACTAATAACAAACACGTCGAAGGCAATTGTTTACCAATTTCAATGACAGCTAAATAAACAGCTATTTTTATAAAAGCAAACGCAAATTAGAAATATAATTACCTAACAATATATGTTTTAATTAATTCTTTTATTACAAAAAAAAAAAAAAAAAAAAAAAAAAAATCGAAAAAAGAAGCGACTTCTCAGCACAACAACAATACGCGATTATATGTTAATAGAACGATTAAGGGAACTAATCGCTAATCGCTGTAGTTTCCCGATTTTTAACACTTCGTGTTATATGAACACAGTCTGGGCAATCGGCAAAACACTCTTTCCGAAGAACCGAATAACGATTAGGTTCGCGGACTGACGCAAAAAAGTTAATAATTTTTCATCGTGAAACGTGCATCTATTGCCCTAAAACAAGATCTGGGATAAATTTCATTTTATTGTGAGGCAAAAGATAATAAGAGAAATATATTTCTATATCCCATAGAGCTTTTATTTTGCATGAGCTGGATGCACATTGATTGGCTTAACGTCAAGATCGATTGACAAGTTAGAACGAATACTTCAACAAGATAATGTACATCATATGAAGCAAGAATTTGTGTACCAGAGATGATAGTCTACTCAGAATTGATCCATGTGTACCAGAGATGATAGTCTACTCAGAATTGATCCATGCAGATAGGCAATCTGAAGAGCGTCCACAAGGGCGCACTTTAGGGGTCGTATGATCTATTCGTACTGTATTTTTAAAAATGAAATCAAATGTAATTATAGCCAATGGAAGGCCCCTCGATGGAGCCCTTAACGAAACACATACTTATATCGGGGATGGACGAAATAATATGGATACCTGGCATATACAAACAATATTTATTTATTGATAAAGTGTTGGTCCACCATTTGCGTGTAAAAGGGCTGCATTTCTTCGCGGAAGAGATCCGCAGAGATTCTGAATACTTTCCAATGGAATGCTCCTCATTCCCTTACCTAAAAACGTCTCAATTGAAGCTGGCCACGGAACACATCTGATGATATTCTGATACTCTTCGAACAAAGGTTAAACCACTTTGGCTGCGTAAACGCGGAATGTTAAGATATTCATTCCCAGTACTCTAGCGCGTGAGGTGCGCGAGCTTGATCGTAGGAAACAGGTAATCCAGATCGTAGGCTTCTGGCTTGTGCCCAGCTCAGCCATTGGCAGGAAACGATGTGATTCACCGGACCATACTACTACCACATCACTACTTCTTTCGCAGCTTAGCGTTGGCTTCCGTTATGAAGCCGGACTTCCATGAATGTTTCTGCTTTTCGGAACGCCCGCCGTACTGTTTTTGTCGGAACATTATTACTACAGTGAGTGTTGACTTCTGCTACCACTTTTGCCACTTTTGTATTTTTATGTTGTCTGTCTACCATAATTTTTCATGTCTCCGTCTCTGTCAATTAGCTTTCGATTTCGCCCACTGTTCCGATTCGGCGGATATGTCATCATGTTTTGCCCATGCCGCCGTTACCGTGGACACTGTAGCTTCTAAAACGTTCTAAACAGTTCGTCACAGATGCTCCTGCTGACCGAGGACCAACGCTTTGCTCTTGCTCTTGCCCAAGGTCTGAGAAATCACCGAGAAATTACCGAACGTCGCAGAATAAAAACTGTATTAGACCATAAAAAAAATGACCTCCAAGACTTGACTTGACGTAAACTGTGCGGGTGAACATATGCATCGCATGATTTACATGGGAGCAGTGTTATCGACTGTTGCAACATGATGTCACTACATTAAATTATATTCATATTATTTTGTCCATTTTTTTCCATATGATGTTTGTCTATCATACTTGATGGCAAGATCACGTAAAGAGATCGTATATTAATGAAAAATGGAAAAGAGAACACAAACCTAATCTTTGAAATTTACTAATCCTCTA